TTGGTTGAAATCACCCCCCATACCTACTTTATAGAGGGTTGCACCCTGTATCAGCAAGTACGTATGGCGTCGCTTGAAAATGTATCTATGTATCGATCCGAAACTTGCAGTATAAATAAATACAGTATTGTTAAAAAATGTGTCGCCGAAAACCAACACCCACCCCCTTCTTGTTGGACAAGTTTAGCTAACCTGTGTACTCACCTGTACCAACAAGAATTGACGGTATTGTTATATGTTGTAGTATTGATTTATAAGTAATTCATGATGGATCAACTATTTTATATTGACAAATTCAACTGCTTTTGCCGTTATTGTTATTATTAATCAATAAAATTAATTTGTGGTTTTCATTAATAAAATAACAAATGTTGTTTTACTTCACCGTAGCACCAATGCTTCGCCATAACACAAATGTTGTCTTACTTCACCATAAATTAAAACGAGTTGTTGTACACGTAAGCCATTTTTGGCACTTGAAAAACTAGTGTAAACACTATCGTTAATACTAAAATCGGATTTCAGTATTCGGAATCGCCTGGAGCTACGTGAGGAGAAAGCGCATTGCGTACAGCGCACAACGCAAATGACGCTAGAGGCTACAGTTTTTTATAACGCATCAATTCGCATATTCTTTTGGATAAGTTGTGAATCACCCTGTATATTCTTGTAACATTCAAATAAATTGTCCGTTATTAAATTATTTGTGTAAAGAAGTTTAGAAAACCAAGTATTATAGGCTTTTATATTTCTTATTTTATTAAATTAACGATAATAATAATAACGATAATTTTATCAGTATTTTGTCCTGTAATTAGATGTAGATCTCTTGGGTAATAAATACTATTATTAGCATTACTATTTATAATAAAAAAGGGAAAGGAAGGCAACTTATTGCCTTCAAAGCATTCCCGAACAGCGCGAGGACAATAATTCCCGCAAAATAAAGACCGCAGACGATTGCGGGGAGAACGTCTCCCCAACTTTCGTGCGCAGGCAAGTCGCAAAGTCAAACAGTCGGAAACAATTACAAATAAACGTACAACTTACTTCGGAAGCCGGGAACGAGATCGCGAATTCGGAACACCTCAGCTACATAAATACCCAGACAACTTCGGGGTGCCTTAAACTCGGTGCCGAGGAGTCCGCAGCAATGCCGCGGCCCCGCTCTTACGCCGACTACGACGGAAACAATGCGATCCGAGAGAATAACGGAAGCGAGACATGTAATTAACAGCCTCAGCGTAATTGCCTCAGGACTCGTTAGCAAGCCGTGAACTTTGTAATTAATCCTTTGGTTTTGCTGCTCTCCTCTAAGCAGATGTATTAATTATGGAAGGAACGCTCGCTTGCCTTGCCATTACCTGCTCTTCTCTCCATGGTTCCCGTTCCACCTTTACTTTATTAAAATATTTAAGCGCTCAGATGGTTTTCTAATTGGGATGTATTGTTCTTCAGTTTGCTGCAGGGATTGCTGTATTAATATTAGAGTTATTCTCTCTCTTATTCCCTGTTATTATGGTTCGCTTTTTGCTTCTTTTTTGAGGTTCAAAGCTCTTCTGTATTAAACGAGGACTGTTTACAACTCGACCGAAAAGATGAAGCAATGTAATTAATTTATTTGCTAGAATATACAGGGTGGGCCACCACACTGAAAAAAAAGTATTTGGAACAATGAGCAAATAGTTTAAATGGAATTATTTAACGTAAATGTCATTTTATTCTATTCAAATGTATATACTTTCGTCAAACTATGAGAAATATTTGCTGTAATCTATAATTTTTCCTAGAATTCATATTATTTATAAATATACATAATTTAATTCAAATCTTTTATAGTTTTGAAATTTATTATCCCGCTACAATATCTCTTACAGTTCGTAATAAACTGCAAACATATTTGTTTCAAAACTACCAGTTCGTTAAAATATATATTATGTATTTAAAATTTAGCATTAATGTAAGAATTATTCAAGACAAATGTAGCCTATTATAATCTAACTTATGTTTTCTTGAAAGAAAATTGTAGCAGGTCACAGAATGGCATAGGTGGGAAGTTGCACGTTAGCTGGAGCCACTTACGCTCTGTGTATACTCATCTTCTTGTGAGTAACGACACTAAAGCAGTTGGATAGTTCTAACAACATATTGATGAGGACCATCAATATGTCCTGGTTGGTTAAACTTACGACTTACAAATGATCCTAGCTGTTGTACTGAGTTTGAAATAAAATATTTGTTATTACTGGGAAATATGTATACACAAATATATTCTTAAAATAAGTATATACAAACATTTGACCAAAACTATTCAATTTTGTATTAAACAAACGATACATTAATATACAATACAAAACAGGTTTCTAATGTTTCTATAAAATCTGTGTAGATCGTAAAATTAAGAATAGATTTCGTTTAACCGTAAGTATCAAATATTTATTTTAAACGCTGCCTATTTTTAAAGTAAGAAATTATATTTCTGGGTAGAAAATTAAAGTATTTAAATAAATAAATAATTAATGCTGCATTTTTTAAAGTAAGAAATTATATTTATGGGTAGAAATTGAAAGTATTTAAATAAATAAATAATTTTCTTCAAAGAACATATTTTTTGCGTATAATATATAAAAGTGCGATACCTTAAAATCAAATGTTGTATATTTGAAGCAAGAAAATTTTTTTTTTGGTGTGTGTGTGTGTACACAAGTTTGTGCTCTCTCTATTCAAAAATAACATTAAAAATGAATTTTAAAGTTAGTGAGAATTCACATACGGTCTGTTTGATTATAAAGGCCCCTCGGTTACCCATTTTTGAACATTCTGTAAAGTATATATACAGAGTGTCCCAGAATGTATGAGCAATCTTTCGGATTTATACAAGGGACGTTCAAATAACATGACAAGAATTTTCCTTAGGAGAGAGAATGTATGAGCAATTTTTCGGATTTATAAGGGACGTTAAAATAACATGACAAGTCCATATAAGAATTTTCCCTAGGAGACACAGACCCCTAAAGGACGCCCCTGAAAAACGTTTTTTTTTTAATAACTTTTAAAATACTTTCTGTGATTTAATTATTTTTAATACGTTGGACAACAGATANTCAACTACATTTTAAAATATGTAGATTAATAATAAAGAGGCGAAATGTGATATTACACTATAAATAAATTAACATTCAAATAAGATTTATTACAAAACTATGAACTTATTATTAGTTACTTTTCACAATATATATGCTATGCAATATCCAAAACTAGGATTAGTTCTTGGCAAACGATATTTATTTAGTCCAAATAAATCATTTTTTCAGTGTAATCAAACTTATGTTTTCTTGAAAGAAAATTGTAGCAGGTCACAGAATGGCATAGGTGGGAAGTTGCACGTTAGCTGGAGCCACTTACGCTCTGTGTATACTCATCTTCTTGTGAGTAACGACACTAAAGCAGTTGGATAGTTCTAACGACATATTGATGAGGACCATCAATATGTCCTGGTTGGTTAAACTTACGACTTACAAATGATCCTAGCTGTTGTACTGAGTTTGAAATAAAATATTTGTTATTACTGGGAAATATGTATACACAAATATATTCTTAAAATAAGTATATACAAACATTTGACCAAAACTATTCAATTTTGTATTAAACAAACGATACACTAATAAACAATATAAAACATGTTCCTACGAAAACTATGTAGATCATAAAATTAAGAATAGAATTCGTTTAACCGTAAGTATGAAATATTTAAAAATAAATAATTTTCTTGAAAGAAGAAAATATTTTCTTGCGTATATATTGGGCGTTCCTGGGCGCAAATGCGGCCTGCGTAATAATAATATGCCGCCTCCTCTCCCGCACAAGTCTCCGACTTCTGGGCTAATTCTCGTAATTAGAATGAGGAGTAGAGATGAGCAAGACTCCATAGTCTGTTTTGCTCCATCGCCCTTCAGAGTTCCGTAAATCGCCGAATACCTTCAGAAAATCGCTAAAAATCTTAAGTAAAATGGAAAAATTTAAGAAGTGACGAGATCTTGACATGCGACACATTTTTTCGACGTAATTTTCTATCCTGAATCCCATTCCGATGTCAGAATAACTGCATAACCGTCTAGTCTTCAAAAAATCGCTGAAGATTGAAAAGTGACGAGATCTTGACATGCGGCATATGGTTTCCCGTGCATTTTTGTTTCCTGAACACGAATCCATAAACCGTTTTGCTCCATCACCATTCAGTTTTCCGTAAATCGCTGAATACTTTCAGAAAATCGTTAAAAATCTCTAAAAATTACGTCGAAAAACATATGTCACGTATTAAGATCTCGTCACTTTCTAAATTTCTCCATTTTACTGAAGATTTTTTTACCAAAATTAGAATGCCCTTGGAGCAATTAAAATATTTTAAAAAAATTATCTAAAAACTTGATTATTTTGCCTTTTTAATTTTTAATTTACAGTATATTGTGCAAAATTCAATTCTAAAACTTTTTTCCTCTTCAATATTCTTCCAAAATGCATAGGTTCTAAGATATAAGTAAAAAACTCGAATAAAATAGGTATTCTTTAAAATTAAAAAACATCCAAGTGGTGGGATATTTCGGCAGATCCGCCCTGATCTATATGTAATATAAGCGTACAGCATATAATTTCCACAGATTTTCTTAAAGGGTCGCTAAAATCGTAACCTCGCAGAGGTTTTTAATAGACCTCTTAGAAAATTTATTACATTCGTACGTAAATTTATACAGTGTAGGAAAGTACCGATGGTCTATCAGAAGTTACGTGAGAGCGATAAAGTAAGCCATAGAAATCCATGTGATAGACAAGGATGGCTATAATGAAGGCGTCTAATAGTCAACGCCCATTTCGCCCTTCCACAAATAAGAAGTGGATCTTATCGCTCTCACGTAACTTCTGATAGACCATCGGTACTTTCCTAGACTGTATAGTACCAACTAATTTGGACCAGTTCTGACCAGCGCCTTTTTCATTTTCAGGGAAAGAGCACCAGTCCGACGACGAGGATGACATGCAGAGCGACATCAGCGAGGACCTGAAAGACCCCTCCAAGAAGAAGAAAAGCGACTCCAAGTCCCAAAGCGCGGGAAAACCCAGAAGGGCACGAACGGCGTTCACCTACGAGCAACTAGTGGCTTTGGAGAACAAATTCAAAACCACCAGGTACCTAAGTGTGTGCGAAAGACTCAATCTAGCTTTAAGTTTAAGTCTCACCGAGACCCAGGTGAAGATATGGTTCCAAAATAGACGGACGAAGTGGAAGAAGCAGAACCCAGGCATGGACGTCAACTCGCCTACGGTGCCGCCGCCTAGCGTAGGGTCTGGGGGGAGTTTTCCTGGGTTCCCCGGGCACCACACGCATTCTGGTTTGCTGTATTCCCACCATGTTCCGTACGGGGGAGTTTACCCCCTTCAGGCTACGAGTTCTGGTAGTTATACGCCGTATTTTCACTTGGCCAATCATGGGCATAATTTGGGGTCTTGAAAATTGTCCTGAGGCGATTTCGTTTTTCAGAGCGGGTGTTTGGATTTTTGTTAAAAACCGCGGAAAAAAGTCGACGTAAATATTATCTTCCTTTCCATATGATTGTGTTTATGTATTTGGAATATTTTTCCACTAAAGAAAGGATCAAATAGTACATTTCCAAAGGGACATTTAGTTATTATTGACATAATTTATTTTGTCTACAACTGTGCGGTAAGTTATATGCACTATTTTAGGTGTTGTAAGTAATATACATTACCACAAGACGTGCGGTAATAGGCAATGTCATGTGGAAAGTAAAAAATTAATTAAATAATGCCAAAAAACTAAATTAATTGTATCCAATTGTACGAAACATAAATCTGAGAAAAATATCTTATTTCATAAGGAAGAACGTATCTTTCTATTAAAACAGATTGTCTAAGAAATTTTTTCCAATATTTTGACGATTTCTTTCTATTTCGTATAAATTTTAAAATCATATCGAATTGGTTTTAACTAGACCCCTATTATGAAATTATTTAACAAACTATAAATATGTAGATATATTTTTACACCTTTTGACTTTTCAATCTTATGAAATTATCGTTAATTTCCTGCAGTACAATAACAATATATGCATGTACACGCTTGGAAATTATATTTTAAAGAAACTATCTATGTTTTGTTATACAGGGTATGCTACATGTTCTATGACAAACTTTGACAGATGGTAGCTGGGTTAATTTCAATCATTTTTTCTTATGCAGGGTGGGCCATTAGCAAAATAACCCCCTTGTTATTCATAATACAGAAAAAAAGTTTATATAAAAATTGTATAGAATAAAAAAACATAAAGGACAACATTAATTTGAAACATACAGGGCGATTAGTGAAAACAGGATACGCCAAATATTATATTTTTTAAATGGAACACCCTGCATATTTTTAAACATATGGATTTCTGAGAAAATTCTATATATGGCAATATAAACAGTTTAACATTTTAGTGCGGTGTTGCCAAATTATGTAGAAAATTCTTCCAATTTTGGAAAAACATGACCTCGAAGAAGTGGTATTAACTTTCAACTACTAACATTTGGAGCAAAAATATTTGACAGAGTTATAGACAAATGTTAGGCAAAAACTCCTATATCAGCTAATTTCGATATTTTATACAGGGCATTTTTTATAATTCGATGATTTTTAGAAAGTTTAGACTTTATTTTCTAAAATTTTTCAAATGGAACACCCTGTATTTTATTGTTCTATTTTATTCACATCAGTCCACTTCAACTTTTATTAAGTATGTTCGACACCTAAAGTTGTTAGTTTTTAAGATATAGCAACATTTCTGGAAAAAACTAATTTTTATTATTTTCTGTCGCACGAAATGTCTGGAAAAAACTGTCACATTGTGTCAACTTGTCAGCTCATAATTTATCATTCCAATTTGAGTTAATTTTATTAGTTAATATTTATTTGTGGTATTCTATAAAATAATAAAAATTAAGTTTTTTCAGAAATGTTGTATTTCTTAAAAACTAACAACGTTAGATATAGAACATGCTTAATAAAAGTAGACCGATATGTGAATAAAATAGAATAAAGTAATTTTAGAAAATCAAGTTTAAACTTTCTAAAAATGATCTAAAAATTATGGCCTGTATAAAATATCGATATTAAGCTAGTATAGGAGCCTTTGTCTAACATTTGCCTATACCTCTGTCTAATTATTTTGTTCCAAGTGTTAGTAGCTGAAAGTTAATACAATTTCAAGGTCATGTTTTTTCCAAAATTCGAAGAATATTGTACATAACATGGCAACCCCGCACTAAAATGATAAACTGTTTATATTGCCATATATAGAATTTTCTCGGAAATTCATGTTTAAAAATATACAGGGTGTTCCATTTAATAAAATGTAATCTTTGGCGTGTCCCGTTTTTTACTCATCGCCCTGTATGTTTCAAATTAATTTTGTAGTTTAGGTTTCTTGATGCTGTGCAACTTTTATATAAACTTTTTTTCTGTATTATGAGTAACAAGAGAGTTATTTTACTTTCTCACACTAATGGCCCACCCTGTATGAATATAGGTCCGATTCGTTTTTGTTTAGAAGTTACAAGCATTTAAAAAATATAATTTCATATTCCAATCAAAGTAGGCTGATAAATAAAAATGATGGTTGCTATAACAATAATTAATAATTGTTTTTAAAGTTTAAACATTAGTTAACCTTTATTAACCAAAATAACAAATCTAAACACTATAAAAATTGTTCAAAAGGTCTTACTTGCCTCCCTCTATGTAGGGGTGCACCATCGTACACATATTTTGAACAATATTAAGCCATACGAAATCAAAAAAGCTGTTTTCCAAGAAAGTTCTATACATATCTGCATCTAAACGATCATTTAAATCATGTACAAACGCTTATTCCGGGTATTATGGTTCACAATAATATTGAGCTCTCTAACCCTACTGGTAATGTAAATGCCGTTGTTGATTATTTCAACAGTGTCTTTATTCAGTCTCATCCAATAGACTCATCTAAATTTCCTGCAAATAGTAAACTTTCAGTACCTATTGTCATTTCGTCTATCAAGGAGGAAGATGTCTCACTAGGTCTGAGAAGATCTAAAGACTCCTTCACAATGGATGTGGATGGTATTCCTTGTTTTATCCTAAAAGACTGTGCGTAGGTACTCATTTGTTCAACCTTTGTGCGTATTATTTAACTGTATTTTAAAACATTCCACTTTCTCGTGTCTTTGGAAAAAGGCATATGTGTGTCCAATATTTAAAAAGGGAGATCCTAATGAAATTGCGAATTATAGAGCAATTTCTTTGCTGTGTAATTTTTCCAAAGTTTTTGAATCTAGTATCTCACTAAGCATCTGATATCCATTCATCAACATGGATTTATGCAGAGAAGATCTACCATTTCAAATCTCGCTGTCTTTTCTCAATTTATTTCGGAAACGTTGGATGGTGGAGAGCTAGTTGATGTAATATTTACAAATTTTCAAAAAGCGATCATATAAATCATTCATCTTACTGGCAAAGTTACAAGGATTTAATTTTCCAGATTCTTTGACAGGGCTTTTGCAATCGTATTTAGCAAGTAGACAATCTATGGTCAGGTTTCAAAATGTTACCTCTCAAGTTTTTTCTCCATCTTCAGGGGTGCCTCAAGGCTCTAATTTGGGACCGCTTTTTGAAATATGAAATTATATTTTTTTGTAAAATGCTTGTAACTTTTAAACAAGATCAAATCGGACCTATGTTCATATAAGAAAAAATGTTTGAAATTAACCCAGCTATCGTCTGTCAAAGTTTGTCATAGAGCTTGTAGAACACCCTGTATCACAATATGGCTTTTACCAAAAAAGTGAGAACTGAAGTAACGCATGCATTCAAAATAAATCTCCAAATTGGCAGATAACCTGTGGAAATAAGAGGTTGTTTCTGAGATTTCTGTGGCATACAACAGTTGTTCCTACGGTTTTTAACAAAAATTTATGAGAGTACTGTTTATATGTAGCATATTTGACGCTGTGCCATAAGTTTTGTAAATAAATAAACTGGTAATAGATGATCAAGATACCGGTAATTTTGACCGGGACAAAATCGAACTGGGTTTTGTGCAAAATTAAGTGTAACATAATGAAATTGAAATGTATTGTTGTATTTAGAAAATGTATTTATTATCTGTATATGTAAAATCTCACTTGTAAATAAAATCCAACTTCATATAAAATGATTTTTTATTTCGCAGTTTTAATATTAGCAGACCATCACAATATTTGGAAAAATGTACAATTGTACATATAATTTCGAACCCAGTCAAAATCAATGAAAATTAATAAATTTATGTACCTTCTGTAGTGTCCCTCAGTTATATCTCATAAATAATAGGAAGTTCAAAGATGGTTAAATTAGAACTATGTTAGTTTTCGAAGATACCTACATGTATTTCTCTTGTAACTATCATAGCAACAAAGAAAAGAATTGCAGGCATAGCTGATTTGCCGTATACAAACAACAACGAATTTCTTATGCTGTATCGCCACAAAAACTTTTTTAAGAAACCACTTTTTTTATAACTAAAAAATTTTCAATTAATCGACTTGAAATTTTTTACAGAGGTTCACAATAACATAATTCAAGTAACATCTTAGGGGTTTTTGGATTGATTAACGTTTTTCATTGTTATTAAAAGTTTAATGCAAAATTGGTGGTCGTCTTTTTTCGACAGTTTTTTTTAATGTTTACTATATCAACAATTATTAAAATTTTTACATTTTTCTACGATGTTCTATAACTTTTAGCATATTGTAACAGAAAATTTTCGTTTTTTTCGTTCCGACACCATTTGTTAGGCCATACATCAATCTGAATAAAAGGTGTCGTTGCTTGTCACCAACTATTTTGAATCCAAATAGTTTCAAAAATTCGTAATGCTACCTGAAAACATGTACACTGAAAAAATTCACTCAATTTTACTCAATAATGTATCAATTTCTGTCCATACCAGATTGAGTGAAATCTTCACTCTATTAGTATGAGTACTGAGTGAAACTATTGCATCAGAAATAAGTGAGTTTTACTCAAATTCGAGTTAATGCTAACTATCAATTGAACGACTTTTGACTCTATTCTGAGTATATAAAACCAATGTAGAGTTGACTTTTTCTCTAATATGATTTAAATTAAATTATTATTGAAACATTTTTTACTCAGACTTGGTTTTTAATTAACTAAATATTGAGTAAATAAATCACTCATAAATGATTAATTAGGATATACAGTGTTAGAATTAATTCACTTCGCGTGGCCTCCTCCTGTCCTGGCTGAGACCCACCAGCTGAGGCCCGTCGTCACCGGCTAAAGCATGTTTTTCTGGCAATCACGCTTTTCTAACGCATCTAAAGGTCCCCTATCAACTGTAATCGAGATTACAGAAGCAATATGTAAGGGATGCCATCTTGATGACCCCTTTCAAATTACTCGGAATT